TCGGGTAATTGTCATGTTGGAAGACCCATCCACGACCCATCTTCAGTGTTCTGGCTTAGGGAAGAAGGTTCTCATTCATAATTTTACAATACATGGCCCCTTCCATTGGTCATTCAGTGCGGAAAGTCGGCCTGTATTTTAAGCAGAGAAACCATCCCAAGGCATAATGTTTCCATCTCGGTGCTTCACTGTAGGGATGTTGTTCCTAGCGTCATAGTCAGCTTTTTTTTCTTCCTCCAAACACAGCGAATCGAGTTAATGCCAAAGAACTCAATTTTGGTCTCATCTGACCGCAGCACTGTCTCCCAATCCTTCTCTGAAGTTTTGCCAGTGAACATCTAAATGATTCAGATCGACCTGTACAATGTGCCGCCTTGTCTTCAAACGTCTAAGTCTCAACTCCAGGTCTTGCAAATCTTCAGCATGAAGGTGTGCCCCAACCACCTAAAGTGGGGGGGACGTCTGTTAGCCTTTTCAAACACTTAGACAGCCTGCATTTCTGATGCTTTGGTGCTGAAATTAATTTCCAGGAGCTACAAACTAGAGTTTTTTTCCAGCCCCCTCCTATCTTTGTCACTTTCCACCTCCCGTGTCAGTACCCAGATTTGTAGTTTTGCAAGTAGTCATAACATGACTTCTAAATCTAGGTTTTCATTGCTTCAGTTCCTGTGCCAGACAGGTTTCAGGGGTTTTTCGTCTGTTCATGTTCACCCCATCTTGAATCTAAAAGCTCTGTCTTCATTCAAGCTCAGACGTTCTCTATGGAATCCACCAGGGTTTCACTCCAGATGCCTACAAGACAACATTCTGTCATTTGTGGGACATGTCTGTCTATTCCCTGGATAGACAGGTTTATCTGGTGCCAAGGACCAAGTTGTCCCTGGTTTAGTGGCTCAGAAATCCATCTCTGCCTTTTGGACAAATAATTTTACTGTCTTTTGAAAGATCCTTGGGACATATGTAAAACCGATTGAATTGAAGGAAGTACTTGGCACTCTGCCGATGCAGGGAACTTGGATGTTTGGTTGTCTCAGCAATTTAAGCTCCCAATCTATGCTGGATTGTCTAGTGATTTGATTGTTCTAACAGCACTGGACTGCCTAGCTGGTAGTGTTCATCTAATGCCTGATGATTAAACATGTGGAGGGCACATCTTGGATGAATTGAGCTGAGGCTGCTCTTACCTGCTCGAGCTGGGCAAGGTGTGCAGTGGCCAGGCTAGAGTAAGAGCAGATCCTGTCCTGGGAAGAACTTCATGTTCCATAGTTTACATCCTAGACATCAACAATGGCAGACAGACCTCTTCACTCGGCAGTGCCTGGTCCTGCGGGGGTGGTCCTTTCACCCAGTGGTGTTCAGGACCTGTTACAGGTTGGGGACACATGATGTGGACCTTGGCCTCCTAGGTTCCACAGCAAACTGGATAGGTTGTCTCCAGGTACAGGGATGCTATGCAGTATCAGTACATCTAGATCTAAGCCTTTCCTCCCGTAAAACATCTTCCTCGTCTGCTTCCCAGAATGGAGACGGAGGGTATTCCAGTGGTTCTCATAGCTCTAGATTTGCACAGGCTGATGTAGTACTTTAGACACTGGAAAAAACTGTAGGCAAGCCTAGGAGAACCCCAGTTCAATCCTCCTGTAGGCGGCAGCATAACCTTATGGTAATGGCTTCCCTCAAAGGACTCCAAAAAAGGTTTTTCAGTGAGTACAAAATTCCTATTGTATAGGACACAAGATCATCTTCACCATCAGATATGCTGCCATCTTCAGAACATTGGACTCGAAAAACTGTAAATATAGTCCAGTATAACCCCTCCCATTCCCAGCATGCCTCGTGCATAGGAGAATGGACGTCTTCTCTTTGCCTTAAGAGAAGCATATACAGTTGTGTTCAAAATAATAGCAGTCAGACATCACTAACCTGATCAATCACTGTTTTTGGTAGAAATGATATTTCTACACATGGCAAATAATTTACTAGTCTGTGTAGTAGAGTAATAGAAATCCAACAGACCCAACAGTCATGACATGCATGCTGCTGATTCTGTGTAATTGAATCACTAATTGAAAGGGGCATGTTCAAAATAATAGCAGTGTGGAGTTCTATTAGTGAGGTCATTCATTCTTTGAAAAACAGGTGGCAATTATTGCCCTTGTCTAAGGAAGGAAGGCAGCAAATGTTGTACATGCTGGTTACAGTGCATTTCTCTCTGAAATTCTGAGGAAAATGGGTCGTTCCAGACATTGTTCAGAAGAACATCGTACCTTGATTAAACCGTTGATTGGAGAGGGGAAAACCCTATAAGAAGTGCAGAAAATTTTAGGCTGCTCAGCTAAAACTATCGCAAATGCTATAAAATGGCAACCAAAACCTGAAAGACGTGGAAGAAAGCGAAAAACTACCATTCGAATTAATAGAATAGCCAAAATGGCAAGGACTCAGCCAACAATCAGCTCCAGGAAGATCAAAGAAGGTCTAAAGTTACCTGTGAGTACTGTTACAATTAGAAGACGCCTATGTGAAGCCAAGCTATCTGTAAGAAGCCCCCGCAAAGTCCCACTGTTGAAAAAGACATGTGCTGAAGAGGTTGCAATTTGCCAAAGAGCACATTGACTGGCCTAAAGAGAAATGGCGCAACATTTTGTGGACTGATGAAAGTAAGATTGTTCTTTTTGGGTCTAGTGGCCGGAGACAGTTTGTCAGACGACCCCCAAACACTGAATTCAAGCCACAGTACACTGTGAAGACAGTGAAGCATGGTGGTGCAAGCATCATGATATGGGGATGTTTCTCATACTACGGTGTTGGGCCTATTTATCGCATACCAGATCATGGATCAGTTTGAATACATCAGAATACTTGAAGAGGTTATGCTGAAGAGGAAATGCCCTTGAAATGGGTGTTCCAACAAGACAACAACCCCAAACACACCAGTAAACGTGCAACATCTTGGTTCCAGACCAACAAGATTGACGTTATGGAGTGGCCAGCCCAATCCCCGGATCTTAATCCAATAGAAAACTTGTGGGGTGACATCAAAAATGCAGTTTCTGAGGCAAAACCAAGAAATGGAGAAGAACTATGGAATGTGGTCCAATCGTCCTGGGCTGGAATACCTGTTCACAGCTGCCAGAAGTTGGGTGACTCCATGCAACACAGATGTACAGCAGTTCTCAGAAACAGTGCTTATACAACGAAATATTAATTGATTCAAAGGAAAGAAAAATCTTCAAACATTTTTCAGTTTATATAGTGAATGTTTGAGTTTGTAAAGAAGAATACAAGCACTGCTATCTTTTTGAACAGTCTAATATTCACTTTTCAATTTTTTTAGAGGAACAACACAAATTTGATATATTTTTCTTCATGTTTTGATTTGGAATAGAATGTGTAGTGTTTCCAATGCATTTGTGTGTATGGAAATAAAAGCTATTAGAAGGATTTTGAGCTTTATTCACTTTTTTTTCAACACTGCTATTATTTTGAACACAACTGTATATCCTCTCTTCTCCTTTTCCCTCTCTTCTCCTTTTCCCTCTCTTCTCCTTTTCCCTCTCTTCTCCTTTTCCCTCTCTTCTCCTTTTTCCTCTCTTCTCCTTTTTCCTCTCTTCTCCTTTTCCCTCTCTTCTCCTTTTTCCTCTCTTCTCTTTCTCTCTTCTCCTTTTTCCTCTCTTCTCTTTTCCGCTCTTCTCTTTTTTTTTCCTCTTTTCCGCTCTTCTCTTTTTTTTCTTCTCTTCCATTTCCCTTTCTCTCTTCCTTTTCCCTTTCTCTCTTCCTTTTCCCTTTCTCTCTTCCTTTTCCCTTTCTCTCTCTTCCTTTTCCCTTTCTCTCTTCCTTTTCCCTTTCTCTCTTCCTTTTCCCTTTCTCTCTTCCTTCTCTCTTCCATTTTCCCTTTCTCTCTTCTTGCTGCTCTTTGGCTACTACAGCTTCTTTTTGCAGTTTTCCAGCCCCTCTCAACAGCATAGTTTAGGCCTATGACCCAGCATGGTTCCCCTTTTCCCTGTTTGAGCAGTTAGTGACTCTTGGACTTTTTTGGCATTAGGCATCGGTTTATCAGATTCTAAGGCTGTCATTTGGTGGTTCATTACATGTTTTCGTTTCACCAGGTGGATACTCGGGCCTCAACTGATGACATTTTCAAGTAAAGGAGATCATAATGCTCTCATTCTGTGGGCTTGTTGGCATGCGTTTTGCAGTGTTGCTCACCCCATTTGGACTGCTTCTGGAGGTCCCATGGTTAAGACTAAAGATACTATGTCATGTAATATAGGATAAAATACTTGCCTTGGAGTACAGTACAAGACAGCCTCTTTATCCTGTTTGATTCAGATCCTTTTTATTGCTTGCTGACAGAATTTATGGCATTCTGGAAGCGAGAGGGTTTATACTGGGCTGTCCTTACAGCTTTGTTTCTCTAGTGTCCGATTTCTTAGGCTGGCAGCGTAATCCTGGGTAAGACTTAAGATCTTGTGTCATGTACTACACTCAGACAAAAAAGGGTATTACAGACAAGTCAGAATTCCTATTTCTACCTGATTAGCTAGTGCCTGAGATGTCTCATTTTAGATACTGAAAAATGTAAGTGGTCATCCTAGGCCAGAGTTTGTATTTAGGACTTGGTAGACACATGTCTGAGGGTGGTTAGACAGTGTCTGCTAGAGTGAATGGACAACTTTGGCTTGTCCCTTTGCTAAAGAATTGGTGAGTTTTTAAAATATTTTTGGAAATCCTATTTGAACTAGGGAAGGACTAGCAAGATTGAAAGCAAATTGAAATCAACATACTAATTTCTATTTGCTCAATGCATTCGGTTTCTTCATCTGGTATTTTTTTCCCCTCTCTCCTTGTGACATTTACCACTTTGTTGCAATATGTAATTAACATATACAAATAGTGCACAGATTTACAGGGATTCTTTTGCAGGATCTTCACCACCCTCTGTGTTGCTTCCATCTGACCCCCCTGAAGAGCCTCCGATCGCTGCTCCTGCACCTGCAGCACCTGCAGTATCTGCTCCTGCTGCCATATTTACCCCACCTGGACATCATTGAGTGTTCCTCATTTACCCAGCTCAGAGGCTTTTGCAGCTGTTGCTCAGTTATTTCAAAGTAGCCAAGGACAGCAGGTATGTTTTGTCTACTACTTCCTATTAACTTCTGAGTATATGCAAGGTGACCTATTTGTATCAGTAAAAGTTATGATTTAAGTCTTTTAACACAAACTGACATTAAATGCTTGCTTTTTGCTACATCGAATATAGGCCTTGAATGGGTTTCTCTCCTTTCCTCTGTATGGAGGCTGAAAAAAGGGTTGGTGCAAAATTCTATGCATTTTCTTGTGCCTGGGGAGATGCAGGTGCCTCATGCAGTCTGCAATATAAGTGAAAGGCTGTTCATGCCTGTACTGTTGTTAACTCCTGTTAGTGTTCCTAAACCCAGGACCCTGCATCCACTATATCTGGTCTCCCCCAGTACATGGACGTGCAATTATTTTTAGTATTATTATTATTATACAGGATTTATTTAGCACCAACAGTTTGCTCAGCGCTTTACAATAGAACGGGAGACAATAAAGCAACAACAGTTCAATACAAGAGAGAAAGGAGGGCCCTGCTCCTTGGAGCTTACAAGCTAGGAGGGATAGTAAATATAAACTTCTAAATACCTTTTTCTCATGCACACAGCAGAGAGATACAAAACTGCATGTCTCCCTAGTAAAACACACACAGTTAACCCTTTCATCTCCCCATATGTTAACCACTTCCTGTCCAGTGTCATTAGTGCAGTGTCAGTGCTTTTTATTAGCACTGATCACTGTATTAGTGCCACTGGGGATGTCGGTGGCAGTTCCAACCCAGTGCCAGAATGCCGCCACAGTATACTATGATGCTTATCACCACCATTACTAGTATAAAAAAAAATAAGAATTCCAGTCTATATACCGCTATTTGTAGACGCTATAACCTTCACATAAACCAATTAATTTACACATATTGGGCTTTTCTTTTATTTTTATTTTTTTTTTAGCAAAGACGTAGCAGGATGTCCTAAATTTATGAAGAAATCAGATTTTTAAAATGTTTTTATTGAGCATAGCAAACAGTCAAAAATATTTTTTTTTTTTTTTTTTTCTTCAAAATTGTTGGTCTTTTTTTCTTTCTTTTTTTTTTTTTGTTATAGCGCAAAAAAATATAAAAACCGCAGAGGTGATCAAATACCACTGAAAGAAAGCTCTATTTGTGGGGGGAAAAAATGACATAAATTTCATTTTATGTGCAGCGCTGCGTGTCCTCACGATTGTCAGTTAAAGTAACGCAGTGCCGGATCGCAAAAAATGGCCTGGTCGGGAAAGGGGTAAATCCTCTGGAGGGCAATTAGTTAATACCACTTTTAAGCGTGCATTATTTTGGTTTCAATGATCGATGTGTACAGCACTGTTTTGAGTGCATAGTCTTATTTTACACAAGGCTCCTTTCGCATGAGGCACTTTCCAGTCTGATCATCAGAGGATCAGTGAGCTGATCAGAGCAGAACAGGATGGATGTCCCAGACACCTGTTGCCTTTATGGGCGGCTGGGGGTAAACGGACTCCGCTGTCTGTTTCTATCAGGCTACATCTGCTCCACCAAAACTGAAAAGGACACAGTCCTTTCCCTTTTTGCAGACCTGATTAGACCCAGAGGTGGGTGTAAATGGACACACCTACTTTTCCATAGGGCTCTTTGGACCTTCTGATCAGTTCCACCTGAAAAAAGTGACAGGTGGACCCGATTGGAAAGGCCGTGTGAAAGGGCCTAAGACTCCAAGCTTAAACAGATACCGTATTTTTTTCACTCCATAAGACACACCTAGGTTTTAGAGGAGAAAAACAAGAAAAAAAATATTCTGAACCAATAGACTGCAGACACAGTGCAGGTGATGACCAGAGACTGCGGACGCAGTGCAGGGGATGACCAGAGACTGCGGACGCAGTGCAGGGGATGACCAGAGACTGCGGACGCAGTGCAGGGGATGACCAGAGACTGCGGACGCAGTGCAGTGGGGATGACCAGAGACTGCGGACCTTTGGGGAGGGAAGGGCAGCGGGTACTTGAATTTGGCAGTACACGCTCCCACTTCTGCGGAGTTGTCCTTCCTTCTCCCCGCGGCGGCTTCTGTGACAGCCGGGTGCCCACTGTGCATGCGCGAGAAGCGCTGCGCTTTGTGAATGGCCCGGAGCCTTCTGGGACCTGGCATGTGTCCCAGAAGATGCCAGACCATTCACAAAGCGCAGCGCTTCTCGCGCATGCACAGTGGGCACCCGGCTGTCACAGAAGCCGCCGCGGGAAGACTGCAGCACTGGAGCGAGGAACAGGTAAGGTCCTGCAGGAGAGAAGAGCTGAGCGGCCGGCCCGATATCCTGACATGGTGGCGGCAGAAATACCGGACCGGCCGCTTTACATTCGCTCCATAAGACGCACTGACATTTTCCCCCCTTTTTGGGGGGAAAAAAGTGCATCTTATGGAGTGAAAAATTCGGTAATTTATAGGTAGTTTGTGTAAGGGTTCATTCAGACAGGCGTAGTCCAGCCGTCCATGCTGTGCCACTATTCTGCTGTGTATGCATCCACCTGTCTGAACCCTTACACAATTATTTTTTTTTTTTAGTCATTTTATAAACTTGCATCATACTGTTTGAGTAAAGGTAATGACTTTAAGCTTCAAATTCTTGGTTTTATATTTGTACAATCGGCACAAATATTACACAATTTTTTTTTTTTTACAGCTTCAGCAGATTCTTCAGACCTTCCAACACCCTCCGAAGCCACAGTCTCCAGTTATTGAAGAGAATATATATTCCCAAGTACAGTCGATTACTTGTCAAATGAACACTCAACCCCAGCCGTCTCACCAGTCAGAAAGGAAAAGTACCCTTGATAAGGTAATTACTATTTGAGCAATTTAAGGTTTTTCTTTTCCCTTTTCTGTATGTCCTTTTCTGAAAGCATGTGCTATGTCTTTAACAGTTGCTGGACCGATTTGATTATGACGATGAACCTGAAGCAGCTGATGAGCCAAAGAAAGATGTGTCCAGTCCCACTCCACCACCTTTACAACCTCCATTGTGAGTAAATGGCCTTCAATGCCTTCTGATCCCCTGGTACACCAAACATGCCAGACTTTGATAAAAGTAGTAGTGCTTAATAATAGAGGTACGTCTTTAATGTGCATTATCTGGGTACAGGTTGTCATCCCCTCCCTCTGCCTGTAAAAGTAATCCAGCGCAGCTGCTTAGACACTTGGGTTACTTTTACTTGAGAGAGAATCACCTGCTTGGAAAAAATGATACCAGGATCATGGTTGCAGCCTCACCCAGTAGTTGCTCTGAAATAGCCTGTTCATTTTCAAATTAAACAGTTTATGCTCTTTAGTTTCTTGTTTTTAAGACCTGTGCTTGCTATGCCTCCTATTCCCCCAGTCATGGCACATACCTTCTGTAGTTATTTCTCCAAGAAGCAGTAATGTAATTCAGCCCCACTTGCTGTGGTGGGCGGACCAAGACTCTTAGACACATTCAACATGTTCAGGCCTAGTATACCTGCCCACATTCACTACAATTTCTTTTGGATGATGGGAACTGTAGTTTCCTTTTGCTGCAGAGAGGAGAGTATGGTGTAATCCCTGCTATTACACCTCCTCCTTGGCAGAACAGATGCTGTTATCTTTTGAATTACAGAGATGAGGTCATGAAAATTCAATTAGATTTCTCTCCTAAAAGGTAACCATTTTCAAAATTGTATAAACTGTTTAGTGTTTCGTGTAGGGGTGTGTACTAATATTTTCTTGTGATGTTTGAGGAATTTTGAGACTAAATAAATTCATATTAAAAGCAACTAGAGATGAGTGAGGGCATTTTAAAGTTAGGCAAGTATACAAAGTTATTGAAATTAAAACCTATATTAACAACTGCATCAGGCCTATCTTTACTAGACCCATTTAACGTTTTTCGCTGCTAGGTCCGTATGCCGTACAGACCTGACAGCGGGGCGTTTTAAACACAATCCATGGGCTGCAGCCACCTGGATTTTTTTCTAAAACTGACAGGCCGTTTCATGCCTGTCATGTCGAAGCAGTTGGGCGGCTGTGCTGCTGCCCGATTGCTTCCACATCCCTGTGCCCCCCTCTCAGTGCTTCCGCCATGTATTCTAGGCTCCGCTTGCCCATCTGTGGGCCCGGGGTCGACATGGAGGGTGCCTGCGGGTGGAGGGGACAGTGGGCATACGTCCACTCTCCTCCCCTATTCTCCCTGTGACCTGGAAAGCCGCGTGTAGGATGTTACTTCCAGGTCACCACTGTCACTCTAGCTGGGGAGAAATGTATTGCAATACATGCAGAGGATCTTAGACCCTGGATGTCTCTTTAAAGAGTGCCTGTCCCCTAAAAATCATCACATAGGGAACTTTGTGTGCCCTATGTGAAAAAAAAAAAAAAAAAGTCCATTGTGATAGACGTGTTACATATCGCCCTACACATCAGAGTGAGAACAACCGTTCTAGCACAAAACCTTCTCTGTAACACTAAACTGATGACCTATAGGGGCTTTTGAAGAGTTGCCTATAGAAAATATAAGGTACTGAAGTTTGTCACCAGTTCACAGGTACATACAGATTTAAGGTTTGACATGTTTTGTAATCTTATTTACTCGGCACAACCTCGTCTTTTGTATTTTACCAAAAATTTGGGTAATTTTTGGTTTTGCCCTAAAATTCTCTTCAGTGTGTTTTTTACTGAAATTGAATTTCCTAGACCTTTGCGGTAATATTGTATGACATACGAAATTGGAACTACCACTATTTTATTCTTTAGGTTGTCTGATTTCAGAATATACGTTTGGGGGTTTTGTGTAATCTTCTAGCCTAAAATGATTGTGTGTACAAAAATGGCCCTGGCAGTGAAAGGGTTATTAATCTTCATGGATTTAATAGTTGCACATAAAGTGGACAGTTGTGGTAAAGGCATTCATTTGAAATCCTGTATGTTTCAAGTTCTTGCATGCATTGTTGAGTGAAAACTTTTTACAGATAGGTGTTGTAGTTTTTCTAAGACAGCCTTTTTCAACCAGGGTGCCTTCAGGTTTCCCATGGAGTGCCGTGGCAAATTGCCTAAAAATTGCCCAACAGTTGTATATTAGCCAGCAGGTGGATACAGCCTGCCTTTTAGTTACTCAAAGCCACAGGTTTTCATTGTGGACCGTTACAACCTTATAACTGCCGGTGTCCTAACAACCAGTGATGTCATCAGTCTATAAGGACGTCAAGCACAGCATACTTGTTTGCCCCCTTCCATGCCCCTCTTCATCAGCACTGGGGTCTCACATTAGCTAAGAGAGAAGAGAAACATTTGAATACTAGTCAGTACCAGTGTTCAAAGGCATGTTTGCTTTGCAGCCTCCAGCGTTGGGTGTCCTACGTGTGTCAATGTTGCTGCATTTTCTAAAACAAAGTTTAGTTTTTACATTTTAGAATGAGGTGCCTCGAGATTGTGCATAAATTTTAAATGGTACATCGACTGAAGAAGGGTTGAGAAACACTGTTCTAAGACATAGCTTTGTTGTATGTATTGGGTTCAATTGTGTGGCAGGTTTTTCTTTAAAATAAGTTGTTGGGTTCCACCTTTTGAATTGCACAGCATTCTTGTTTACCCCTCCCCTGCCCTTCTCCATCAGCACTGGGGTCAGATTAGCTGAGTGAGAGAGAAACTGATTGAGAAGAGCAACAATGCAGTACCAGTGTGCAAAGGTGTATTTACTTTGGAAGAATAAATCCTCTCTAAGGCTGGGTGTCCCACATGTACAAATGTTACTGCGTTCTGTAAAACTAATTAGTTTTTAACATTTTGTTATGGGTGCTCCGAGATTGTGTAGGATTTTAAAGAGGCCTTGACTGCAAAAAGGTTGATTAACACTGACTTAGACACAGCCTGGCTGGTTCCGCTATAATGTGCCTGATTACCAATGTACTTTTCCAATATACTGCATAAAATGTGTTTAATGCTGGTCTTTTGATCTGCTTCAAAGCTTTGTAATTTCAAACAGCAGGATTTAAAGTGTAACTAAAGGCAGTTTTTTTTTTTTTTTTTTTTGGGATAGAGTGAAGGGGTTAGAACCCCTGTTAAATTTTAATGCTCTCTGTGTCCCCATTAGGGAGATTCTTCCTTACTGTTTGTCACGTTTACAGTTCTGATTGAAAGTAAAAGAAGAAAAACAAATATTGAGTTGACATCAGGACACTAATAGCGAAAAAATGTTCCAGTGGGGACACTAGTTCTAGTGACATGCTTGTATTCCCTCACTTTGGAGAGATTTCCTCTTTTTTTTTTTTGGCTTTAAAAAAAAAATATTGCCTTTTAGTTACACTAAGTCTAAATCCTAAAATTTACATCTTTACATTGATGGTGACTTCATAAAATGTTATCTTGTTTTGTAGCCCATTTCCTGTAGAGACAAACCAGCCTCCTGCATCATTCCCACAGATTCCAGGTCAAATGCCAAACATGGACCACTTTCAGATTATACAGCCACACATGATAGGAATGCCTCAGGAGTCTCTTCTTAATCAGGTGTCTAAAAACAATTCTTAAAAAAAAAAAGTAATTGTTGGTACATTTCAAATGTCATGTTTGCTTTCTCTTCTGTGTTACAAATTCATTTCCTTTCTTATTTTAAGGCTCCAGTTCCTGCAAATGGGCAGATGCTTGGTTTTGGTATGATGCCCCCCCAGACTTTCCCCACTATGGTTCCACCATTGTCTCAGGAGCCTCCCCAGGCTTTTATCCAACCTTCTTTCCCAGTTCAACAAAATGATATACAGACACAAAAAGATAATCAGCAGGTGAGCCAACATACATTATTCAACTCTGTTAGTATCTAGTGTAGGTAATTTTAACATTCCTAATAAAGATGTTTAAAATGTTCTGTTTATCTGCTTTCCGACCACACACTGTAGCTTAACCTCTACAGTGCAAGCCAGCTGCACAGAATCGTGTATACGTGATTTTGCTTTTCTGGGTAGGTGGCACGTGCACCTATGTCACTGGCTCCTTTTACCTGCCGATTAGTGGGTCCTGGTCAGTGATTCACAGCTGGAACCCGCTGATCGCCAGAGCAAATAACGAGAGAGATCGGTGTTGGTAAACAACACCAATCTATCTGCTGACAGCGGATGTGTGCTGGTTTTAGGAGACCAAAAACGGCACATATTGCACACATTAAACATAGTTGGGCACACAGTTAATCCTTTGGTTGCCTCAGATGTTAAGCCCATCCTGCCTAGTGTCATTAGCTCTGATCACTGTATTAGTGTCACTGGTGGTGTCAGTTCTGCGGGCATTCTGACACTGACATTGTAGACACTTTCATGCAAATCCATTTAATATACACTTATTGGGAGTTTTCTTACCAAAGACGTAGCATTTTAGCCTAATTTTATGAAGAAATGTTGTTTTTTTTTTTTTTTGGGATATGTTTTATAGCAAAAAGTAAAGAATATTATTTTCTCAAATTTTGGTCTTTTTTCGTTTTTTTTGCACACAAAAAAAAATAAAACTCAGTAGTGATCAAACAATAAAAGAGAGCTCTATTTGTATGAAAATATGTTATTTCATTTATGTACAGTGTTTCATGACTGCGCAATTGTCAGTTAAAGCAGCACAGCGCCATGTAGCAAAAATTGGACTGGTCATGAAGGGCAAGTGGGTAATCTGACTTTGTATCCTGATGTAGTAACAGCTAAACCTTTTTGTGAAAGTCACTTGATATTTGGTTTCATGTGCCTCTCTTGGATACATTTGCAAACAAAAAAACCAAGACCTGTGTTTTGGCTAGTCCTCACTTTGCATTAGAGTTGAGATATGGACATGCTAGAACAAACCTTGGTTTTTCCATGATGCTACAAGAACTTTTCCTCTACTGTGTTCTCTGAAACCATCTACTCAGGAAAGGTTTCTGTAAAGTATATAGACTGCAGTGCTGATCAAGCCAGGATAATCCGACAGGGTGGTTGTACAGAAGGTTCTGTACAACCACTGTTCTCTTAGATGGTTTGAAATTCGATCCATATATGGCTGGCATTAAAGTCTTTTCAGTGACTCATGCAGATAGCAAATGTATCAGATAGGAACCACACCTCACTACATTGGATTCAGGCTAGTACACGATGCAGAAGGATGTTCATTTTTTCATGTGAGGTTTACAACCATTTTGACTACCCTTTCCCAACACCTGATTTTAAACATACAGTACTGTGCAAGTCTTAGGCAGGTGTGAAAATATGCTGTAAGTTAAGAATGTTTTAAAAAATAGAAATGTTCACAGTTTATGTTTATCAATTGACAAAATGGAAAGTAAATGAACAGAAGAGAAATCCAATTCACATTATTTGGTGTGACCACCCTTTGCCTTAAAACAGCACCAGTTCTTTCATTTGGACTTGCACACAGGTTTTGAAGGAACTCGGCAGGTAGGTGGTTCCAGACATCTTGGAGAACTAATCACTGATCTTCTGTGGATGTAGGCTACCTCAAATCTTTCCATCTTCATGTAATCCCATACAGACATGATGTTGAGATCAAGCACTGTGGGGGCCAAACCATCACTTCCTTGTTCTTTATGCTGAAGGTTATTCCTAATGACATTGGCTGTATGTTTGGTGTCATTGCCCTGCTGCAGAATACATTTGGAGCCAATCGCACGCCTCCCCGATGGTATGGCATGATGGAGTATCTGCCAGTATTTCTCAGAATTGAGGGCATTATTAATCTTGATCAAATCTCCAACTCTATTTGAAGTAATGCAGTCCCAAACTTGCAAGAAACCTCCACCATGCATCACTGTTGCCTGCAGACCCTCATTGTACTGCTCTCCAGCCTTTTTTAAACAAACTGCCTCCTGCTACAGCCAGATTCAAATTTTTGACTCCTCAGTCCAGAGCACCTGCTGCCATTTTTTTTGCTACCCAGTTCCTATGTTATCCATCCTTATCATGCCATACCATCAGTGGGATGTGTGATTTGCCCTAAATTTATTCTGCAGCAGAAAGAACACCACCAAACATACAGTTAATGTCATTAAAACAAAACTATGCTCACCCTGGCTCCAGCGATACAGCGTCTCGTTGCTCCCCACCTGGTCACTGACATCTTCAGGCAGCTGGCTTCCGAGTCTCGATTGCCTGCCATCATTGGTTGGGTGAGGATGATGTCACTCCCGCATATGCACGGGAGCTTGGTCAAATTTGTAAAGTGAGCTGTGCATGCGCGGCTCACTGTACAGGGGCAGACAGGCAGGTGAGTATCTTTAATGCGGAAGAGACAAAGCATGTCTCTTCTGCATTAAAATTCCTGGCTGACTTTTTTTTTTCTTTTTTTTTTTTTTTTTTTTTTTTTTTTTTTTTTGTAATCTTAAAGTTCCACTTTAAGAACCATCTCTTTAGTGTAAAATAAACCAAGAAAAAATCATGGAAGTGATGCTTTGGCACCCACAGAACACGGATGTTAACATAGTCTGTCTGGGATTACATGATTTGACAGAAGGATTTGAGGCAGCCTCCATTCACAGAAGATCTGTGGTTAATTCTCCCAAGATGTTTAACAACCTACCAAGTGTGCCTAGGAGAATTGGTGCTATTTTGAAGGCAAAGGGAGGTCACGCCAAAAATTGATTTGATTTGAATTTCTCTCCTGTTCATTTACTCCCCAACACTTAAATTTCTGAAAGCATTTTTAATTTACAGCATTTTTCACATGTGCCTAAAACTTTTGTACAGTACTGTATATGTGTATACGTATCTAAAATATACGTACCTTTGATGCACATACATGGTGAGACTTGCTCCTTTTGCATACCCTCCAGTGCTGGTATTGGGTAGCCGATAGCACTGCACAGATTGGTGGTGGTCTCTGTAGTACTGTACTGTCCAATGGCATGTCAGGGAATGTCAGTGACACTCTGGAATCATAGGAAGTGGCTGAATGATGCTGGAGATCATTCAGTGTGGAAGAGGACCAAATCCTATGATGGAGGCAAGCAAAGGAAAAAGCTGAAGCCCAAAAGGTGAAATTAATTTACTACAGACACGTGCATCTACAACACATGTACAGTTTCAATAGTCTTCATTATTGCTTCAACCCCTATATATATCTTCACCCATACTGCACTATGCAGGTACGGTGTTTTGACCACTATCTTGTGGATCTTGTTAACAACTAGGCTGTGTTTTTGCAGTGCATCGAATTGGTAAATTGCAATTAAATGCAAAAACGTGCTTAACTGCCAGTATAGGGACATCCATTGAACTTACCTTCTTTATCTGAAAATTTAGATTTAGTGGAGGTGGTGGCTACAGAGACAGTGGTTCTTAACCACTTCCCGACCGGCCGTTGTATATAAACGGCCGGACGGTGGCATTGCAGGGTCGGGTGACCGTCTATAAACGGCCTCCCCGCACCCTGCTTGTGCGCGCTCCCTGGGAGCGCGCAGCACCGCGATCCGGTGCCCGCTGTGTCCTCCGGACACAGTGAAACACCGATCGTCGGACGGGACCTCTGTACGAGGTCCCGATCATGTGATCACTGATTGGCCAATCAGTGATCACATGCAAAGTAGTAAGCAAGATGTCACTTGTGACATCATTGCTTACTATGTGTGAAATCTGTGAATGATCACAGAGGTCACATGGTACAAGGCTATTCACAACAGCCTTGTACCATGTGACAAGCTGTGACCAATCACAGCTCACTCTGTATTTCTCAATGAGTGCAGGAATGCACACAGAGAGAAAGAGAAATGATTGCTTTTACATCCTATATGGGTGTAAAAGCAATCGGTGTAAAAAAAAAAAAAAAAAATCTTTATCACCCCTCACAAGTAGTACAGTGTCACCATGGTGACACTGTACTGCTAGGGTGACAGTATGTAAAAAAAAAAAAAAATAAAAATAAAAAGTAATATAAAAATGTTAAATTATAATTTTTGCTTATAAACTAATTTGGATTTTTTTTTTTTTTACTAAAAAGATAACGGAATAAATTTTGGCTAAGATTTATGATGAAATATTATTTATTTGCAAAATTTTATAAAAAAAACACTTTTTAAAAAATTGTTTGGACATTTCATTTACATAGCAAAAAAAATACAAATCCCAGCGGTGAATAAATACCACCAAAATAAAGCTTTATCTATCTAAAAAAAAGGTAAAAAATTCATTTGGGTACAGTGTTGCATGACTGCGCAATTGTCATTCAAAGTGTGATAGCGCTAAAAGCTGAAAATTGCCCTGGTCAGGAAGGGGGGGGTAAAAGTGTCCGGACTGGAAGTGGTTAAACCCTATTAACGTTCTTGGCATATTTGAACTCTGTCTTGTGTTTTTTTTTTTTTTTTTTTTTTCTTCGTTTACAAATTCCTCAGTATTCAATGAGTACCTTGCTAATGGAAGTAGTTTGGATTACAGTTTTTTTGGACGGTGCATACTTCAATGTGTATGTACAACACCTGGGACCCCACCAGGGTTGTATTAAACTGTTGAGATCTTTGCCAAGACTTATTTAGGAAACTTTTCTGTTTTTATAGGAGGTATCCATGGAAATAGAGCAACCTTCTATTCAGGAATCAAAACGACCTGCAGAACGTCAGAGATCTGTTTCTAGGTTTGCATTTACAGCTTTAAACCGTTTGAACGCCATTTCAAAATTGTGTTATAGTTCATTTATTTAAAACATCAATGTATAGTATCTGTTTTACAATTGCCCAGTCCTCTCCTGGGCTTCTTGAGATTTGTTACTTCATTTCTTAATTGCCTTACAATGTGTACCTTTTTTTTTTTTCCCCCTAGATCACCAAAAAAGGCGGCGTTCCCGATCTAGTTCACGTTCTCGCAGATCCAGGCACAGACGCTCTCGTTCTAGATCCCGTGATAGGCGCCGTCATTCTCCTAAATCTCGCTCTCAGGAGAAGCGTGACCGAGAAAAGGAAAGAGAACGCAGAATTAAAGGTCTTCCTCCTATCAAAGCTGATTCAGTTAGTGGTGAGTTTTAACGTTTTTTTCATTAGTACTTTATTTTATTTTTTTATTTAATTTTAAACAAAGTAATATTTTATTTCATAAGCCGTGCTCCAACTAGAATTCTGGATGGATTTGAGTAGCTAGGGAAGGAAGTGTGCACACATGGTTTAATATCTTACAGGACAAGTTAGGATTTAGTTAAGGGAGAAGATCACCTTTTTATAAAGAAGAAAAAAAAAAAAAGTACATCTTTTTTGCAGGTAAAAAATGTGCATTTATTTTTTCATTAGGAGCCTGTTAAAGCATTGAACCTGCGATCAGCAGATCACAGGTGCAATCTCGGGCTCCTGCAGACTCAGTGTACCTGTCTGCCCATACCTTGTATGGTAATGCATTTACTCAATGACAGGAAGCATCAGTGAATTACTTAGTGCACTCTTCATTGCCGTAGTAGTTAATTGAGAACAACGAACTGTCAGCTGCAATGGATGATAGTAGTTCTATTCACAGAACTCTGTGAAAGATGGCCAGGTGAGCAGGACCCTGCACGGCCACAGGTTTTTTTTTTTTTTTTTTTTTTTTTTATTGTGATAGGGGGTCCAAGGAGAAGATCTCCGGCCTACTGTCACAACTGGGGCTCGGGGGTTTGCAGGCTGCTCATTTAATAACATGTGACATGTTACATCCTGGATATGGGTGTAACTTGTAACATGCTGTGAAAGCTGAACTTATCCTGTAACACTAATCTGTGCATCTAGCCCTCCTGAACTAAATTGGACTAACATCCCACCGCAGTTCCCTCTGCTTGCCTTTCTTGCACAGTCATGGCCCGGTTGGTGATAACATCCTTGGCAATGAAATTCTCTTCTAAGGAAGTCTGATCGCAACAGCGATAAGAAAAAAAATGTGCTGTGCTGTGGACGTCCGGCGAGACGGACGTGTCTCGGCGAGCTCCTGCTCCCCCGGCCCCAATCCACTGCCATCTGGGCGGCAGCGGACCCTGACGGGGGCCCCACGACCCTCCGGTCCCTGTTCGCCAGCCAGGGAAGGCCACTGGACCTTTCTCCCGGAGCTCTGGGACTTGTGGCCTACCCGGCACCTGAAGCCGCGGCCTCGATTTATGGCGCGGCCGACCAGGATCGCCGGACATCAGCCCGGACTACTGCCGCTCCGCTCTTCGGTCCCCGCCGATCAGCCAGCCTCCCCAGGGCCCCCCTCACCGACTCTGGGTCCATCCCCGACCACCGGGTACCAGATCGCCCGGAGCAGCCACTGGATGGTCAGCTTAAGCACCCCTGCGCCCCTGCCGCTGCCATCAGGGCCCATCCGGGCCCCTGTGCCTGCTGCCGAGGTCCCCACCAACACCCACAGTCACTCCGTCCCTCCAGCGGAGCTCCGGCGGTTCGCAGCAGCTTGAGGCCTACCACGGCACCCGAAGCCGCAGTGTTTCCTGCCAGCCGTGGCTGAAATTGCGGCCGCGGCGGGATGCCTCCGCTCCTCCGGGAAGCTACCACCACCACCAACGGTCCTGCTAACCCAGGAGGGATCCACCTCCACCCCGACGCTCCAGGACACCAGGTACTTCACCAGGGGCGCCCAACCACCATCCACACCGCCAGCCTCCAGGGACTCACTCAGGGATCCCACCATCCACCTGAAACCCCAAACCACCAGGGACCCTAAGCCACTATCCCTCCAGGGATCGCTACTACCCCACCAGGGATAGCACGGCCACCATCCCACCGGGGATCCCCTGCCCACCACCCCACCTGGGACTACCAGCCAGCCACCACACCAGGGACCGCTTGCCCAGCACCCTGCTTTCCGGCACGCTATTCCCTCTGGCGATGCCCCGGCGACTAATGGCCCACCACGACCCTTGAAGCCGCGGTCTCTCCTACCGGCCGCAACAGATCACGGTTGAGCACAAACCACGCAGGGCCGACGATCGCTACCGCAACGCCCCGCTCGACCCTGATGACGATCCTTCAACACCTTCAGCGCCTCACGACGCCGAGCCCTCAGCACCCGACGCCTGGCCTCAACAAACCCAGTCACCGAGCCGCCAGCATCACCAGTCGCCGTGCCTACCATCGCCCCCAGCCATCGCACCCTACGACCCCTCCACTAGCCGAACCACCGTACCCACTGAAGACATGCCACAGCACCCATGGTCGCCAGCTTACTGCACCCACAGACTGCTGCCAACCAGCTGCCGCCCTCCACCCTCACTCTACCCCTACAGAAGGACTCAAATGACTCTCCCACGGTAATACAGATTTCCCCACACCACCTTGCCCTGACCTGTATCCCTTCACCTCCCCTGACCCAACTGTCACCCCACCCACCCCAACATGCCTCCTGCACTCCTCCTCCTCATTTTCCTCTCCACCATCCCAAAAATCACCTCCCTCTACCCCGCCTACCCCCCCCAAAACAGCTCTACATTGCCCCTTCACTTCTCCCCTCTCCCCACTACGGCACTCACCACCTCCTCCTGCTACTCCACTCCCCCGTCGACCCACGTGCCACCACTATCAGACCCACACGCTCCTACACTTCCCATCCCCATGCCACCTTCCTCACCCTTCTCCTCCTATCTGCTGGGGACATCTCCCCGAACCCTGGCCCCTCGCCACCTCACCCCTCCTCTAGGGACCCCCCTGCTCCCGCCAGCTGCCGTAACCCCCTCAACCTCATATCTGTGCCCCTCTCTCCCCGCATCCATCCTCCCTCTCTTGGTTGCACTCCTGAACGCCCGCTCGGTCTGCAACAAACTTACTGCCATCCATGACCTCTTTATCTCCCGCTCCCTTAACCTCCTAGCCATCACCGAAACCTGGGTACAGGCCACTGACTCCACCTCCCCTGCGGCACTCTCCTATGGAGGTCTCGTCTGGTCCCATTCACCAAGACTGAGCGGTCACAAAGGTGGTGGGGTCGGCCTGCTCCTATCACCGCTGAGCACCTTCCAGGTCCTCCCTAATCCTCCCTCCCTAACCTTCTCCTCCTTCGAGGCTCACTGTATCCGGCTCTTCACCCCCACCCCCCTAAGGATCGCAGTGATCTACAGGCCGCCCGGATCCATACCCCGCTTCCTGGATGACTTCACTGCCTGGCTTCCCTTCTTCCTCTCCTCTGAGCTACCAACCATCATCCTCGGGGACTTCATATCCCCATCAATGACAACAGCCTGGCTACTTCCCAACTCCTCCACCTAACCTCCTCCTTCGCGCTCACACACACACTCAATCCTCCACCCACATCATTGGGAACACCCTGGACCTCGTCTTCTCCCACCTCTGTACCTCAACCAGTTCTCTAACACCCCCTTCCCTCTCTCCGACCACCACCTCCTCACGTTCTCCACTCCCCTTCCCCTAACCCCCCCCCCCCCCCCCACCCCCCCCCCCCCCCCCCCCCCCCCCAGAGCGCCAAACCATCACCAGCCGCAACCTCCGCAACCTGAACCCGGCCCCCCTCCACTCAGCTGCCGACCGCCTACACGACAGCATCCTTCCACTGTCTTGTCCTGACCTAGCCACTAACACGTACAACGACTCACTATCAGCTACCCTAGACTCTCTGGCACCCCTAACCACACGCTACATCAAACCCAGACCGCTCCAACCCTGGCAGAACGACCACACTAAATGCCTCAAACGTCGCAGTCGCGCGCTAGAGAGACTATGGAGCAAAACCAGGTCCCCCCGTTCATTCTCCCTCTACAAATCTGCCTTCCTCACTTACACCTCCTCCCTCCACGCCGCCAAGCAGGCTTACTTTGTAAACCTGATTAACACCCTCTCCTCCTGCCCTCGCCGACTCTTCTCCACCTTCAACTCCCTGCTCTCCCCCCCCCCCTCCTCCACTCAGTACCTCACTCACCGCCCACGAAATTGCCACTCATTTCCACAACAAAATTGATGCAATCCGTCAGGACATAGTCAACTCGCAATCTACCTCCCCACCTAGCCTCCCCCCCCCCCTATCTCCCCCTCATCTCTTCCCTCCTCTGACCTCGCAACCGCACTGCCCCCTCCACACCCAAGACCCCGCTTACCGTAACCCAACCAGCTCTGCACTCCTTCAGCCCTACTACCACTGAGGAAGTCACCAGGGTCTTCTCAGAAGCCCGCCTCACTACCTGCCCCCTGGACCCTATCCCCTCTCGACTCCTCCAGTCAGCCCCCTCTTCCCTCATCTGCTCCCTCACCCACATCTTCAATCTCTCCCTCTCTACTGGCGTATTCCCCTCCCCCCTAAAGCATGCGCACATCAACCCCCATACTCAAAAAGTCCCTCCTGGACCCCTCTGACCCAAACAACCCTCAGACCCATCTCCCTGCTGCCACTCACTTCCAAACTCCTGGAGCGCTTAGTCTACAACCGCCTAAGCGCCCACCTAACTGACAACAACCTCCTTGATCCACTACAGTCCGGCTTCCATCCCCTACACTCCACTGAAACCGCTCCTCCTCAAAATCACCAACGACCTACTAACCGCCAAAGCCAAAGGCGACTACTCTGTCCTCCTCCTCCTGGACCTCTCCGCGGCCTTCGACACAGTTGACCACCCCCTCCTCCTTAATAAACTACTCTCCCTTGGCATCAGAGACACCGCTCTCTCCTGGTTCTCCTCGTACCTATCCTGACGCTCCTTCAGTGTCACCTACAATGGTGCCACCTCCCCCTCACTCCCCCTCTCTGTTGGGGTCCCCCAGGGCTCTGTCCTTGGACCCCTTCTCTTCTCCATCTACACCTCCTCCCTTGGCAAACTCATACACTCCCACGGCTTCAACTACCATCTCTATGCTGATGACACTCAAATTTACCTCTCCACCCCTCACCTCACCTCCACTTTCTCCGCCCGCATCACTCGCCTCCTAAACGACATCTCTGACTGGATGTCGCTCCATTTCCTCAAACTCAACCTCTCCAAAACCGAGCTTCTCGTCTTCCCTCCTGCCCGCCCCCCCCCCCCCCCATCCTATCCATCACTACTAACATCACCACCATCAATCCCGCCCCGCAAGCCAAAGTCCTTGGAGTCATTCTGGACTCTAACCTCTCCTTCCAACCTCATGTCAAATCACTTACAAACACATGCAGACTCCACCTCCGCAATATCGCCAAAATACGCTCCTTCCTTACCCCAGACACCACTAAACTACTTGTGCACTCCCTGATTATCTCACGCCTTGACTACTGCAACTCCCTCCTCACCGGCCTACCCCAGTGCAGGCTTCCCCGCTTCAGACCATCCTCAACTCAGCGGCTAGACTCATCCACCTCACCACCCGCTCCACCTCTGCCACCCCCCTCTGCCTCTCCCTCCACTGGCTCCCTATCGCCCAACGCATCAAATTCAAACTACTCACTCTGACCTACAAAGCCATTCACAACACTGCCCCTAACTACCTCACCAACCTGATTCCCAAGTACCACCCTACCCGTACCCTTCGCTCTTCACAGGACCTCCTTCTATCTTGCTCCCTGGTCTCCTCCTCACACGCACGTCTGCAAGACTTCTCCAGGTCCTCCCCCATCCTCTGGAACTCACTACCCCAATCCATCAGACTGTCACCTTCCCTCCTCACCTTCAGGCACTCCCTGAAAACCCACCTCTTCAGGGAAGCCTACCCCACCCTCGCCTAACTGCTGCTCTCCTTCATTCCTCCTACCACTCCATCCCCCACAGCCACTTCCTCCTGTACCACTACCCCCTCCCTCCTAGATTGTAAGCTCGAAAGAGTAGGGCCCTATAACCCCTCATGTGCTGTTTGTAGTTGCTGTAATGTTTCATGTATTGTCCCCCCCTCTATTGTACAGCGCTGAGCAAACCCTTTGGCGCTATATAAACTCAATGTAATGTAATGTAATAATTTGCAGGAAGCGGAGGACAAAAGCACTTAGTGATATTAACCACTTGCCTACTTATACCCCCTTCCTTACCAGGCCAATTTTCAGCTTTCAGCGTTGTCACACTTTGAATGACAATTGCGCGGTCATGCAACATTGTACCTATATGAAATTTTTATCTTTTTTTTTTCACAAATAGAGCTTTCTTTTGATGGTATTTACTTGCTGCTGGGGGTTTTCGTTTTTGCGCTATAAACAAAAAAGCAAAAAATTTTAAAAAAAAAATTGTTTTGTTTCTATTATAAAATTTTGCAAACAGGTAACTTTTCTCCTTTATTGATGTGCCTTGATGAGGCTGCACCGATGGGCGGCACCGATCATCAGTGCCCTGATGATCGGTGCCAATCCCTGCTCTGACAACTGCTGGTTCTTGGCAGTAGTTTCCCCACGTTCTGACAGCATGTGGAAAGTGTGGCCGAGAACTGGCAATTGCATTTCCCTGCGATCAGCGTGTCATTGGACACAGCTGATCACGTGGTAAAAAGCCACTGTGATTGGCCTTTTACCACATCACGTGATCAGCTGTGTCCGTAGGACCGAGGGGCGCGCAGGAGAGAGTGTTCTGGGAGGACGTCATATGACGCCCTCCCAGAACTGGCTGGCCGCAGTGTAACCATCATTCGGTTATCTGCGGTTGGCGACTGGTTAAAGCTTTGGGGGTTTTTTGTTTTTGTGTTTGTTTTTTTTTTTTATAACAAACAATACATACCTGCTCTGTGCAGTGGTTTTTGCACAAGGCAGCCCCGATCCTCTTCGGTACCTTGGAGGCGCTCCTGGCTCCTCCCTCTTGGCCATTGCCCCCAATTGCAAGCCGCCTGCTTGCTCCCGAGCTCTGCTCTGTGTCCTTAAGAGACACAGACATGCTGCTTGGCCTGCCCCTGCAGTCTCCTCATTTGCTCACTGGCTGTAATTTACGGCAGTGGGAGCCAATGGCTCCAGCCGCTGTATCTCAGCCAGTGAGGAGAGAGAAACCAAGGACAGCTGGGGGGGGGGGGGGGGGAGCAGCACGCTGCAGGATTTTTTTTTCACCTTCGTGCATAGAATGCATGAAGGTAAAAAAATCTTCAGCCTTTACAACCACTTTAAGAATACATACTTGAATAGAATTTTTTTTCAAAAATTTTTTAGACTGGAGCTCTTTGTGGCTTTAACCCAGCCAAGCAGTTTATGTAGATCACCTATAAAACGTCATTGGCAAGATGTTGAGGACTGTTGGTATATAGTTGTGGGACACCTCCCTGAAATTATTTTATATATATATTCTCTTGTTTAACAGTTTGCAGTACAACTCTTTGGGTTGGGCAGCTGGACAAAAGAACAACCCAGCAAGATGTTGGAAACCTTTTAGAAGAATTTGGACCAATTGAGTCAATCAATGTAAGTGAATTTTTGCAAGACTGCTAATTTTTTTTTCTCTTTTTTTACCTGTTGACCTAGTCAGTTTTTGCCAACATTGGCTTTGAAAACCATTAACTGGCAAATCTCATCCTTGGCGATTTGTTTGAGGCCTTTGGCCTCTGACTGCGAAGTTGAAAGCTTTGTTCAGGGAGTAGCTCACATTTGTCCATCTGTCTCCTGTGTCCCCTTGGGGTCTCGCTCAGCTCTCTTGAAGTCACCATTTTAACCTATTGGGTATATTGCCTTGTTTTTACTTGCCCTAAGGTGACTTTTCTGTGGCTACACTTTTGTGAGCAGAGTCAGAGTTCCTGGCCTTATTTTGTAAGGAAACCTTTCTTAGTGTTGCACAAGGGCAAAGTTGTGTCTTGAAGCCCAAGACCTTCTTCCTGAAGATGGACTCTGCTTTTCATCTTAATATATATTCCTTTCTTGCTTATGTCCTGGTCTGAAACATCCTAGGGAATCTTCACTCCACTGTCTGGACATGGTGCAAGAACTGTGAAAGTTTGCCTCCCAGCTTTTGAAGTATTAATGAATAGTTTGCACTAGGCTCTACAGTAAATTGTAGTACTTCACTGTGAAGGCTACTGCAGTTCGATAAATTTCAGCTTATTGCACTGCTTTTTTTTTTTTTTTTTTTTTTTTTTTCTTTTTTCTTTTCAGCCTTATTCAACCAATTCATTGACGTGTCTGCACAGCAGAATGCCGTTTCTTGGTCTTTTCAGCACCAATCTTTTGTTTCTTAGATTTGCAAGGCTGCCAGCTGGGTTTCTGTTCACATGTTCTACCAAGTGCATGGCAGTGTTGGGTGCAAGGTGCTACAATTTGCTTTGAGTCTGTCTAGCTTTCTTGACATGTTTAGTTATATGGTTGTGGAATCGGCTAAGTGACTTTCAAGTCACCCTAATTTTCTCCACCAGAAAGCTGATAGACACCTTGACAAGAATACCCATGCTGCTGCCAACATATGCTTTATGTCGGTGGCAGCAAAGCAGCTAAAGAGCATGTATCCAGGAAATAATACTGGTAAGTCAAAAATCCTATTTTTTTGTGATTAAAAGATCTGCTGATATAGCCAGACAAGTGTTTTTCTAGACCCTGCTTTAGACAGTAAACATTGAACAGAGGCGCTGTGCAAGTCAGTCTGAAGTTGAGATTTCATTATAAAGTGATGTTTTCTGTGGCTTGTTTTCAGATGATACCCCCAAGAGGCTGTGCATACATTGTCATGGTTCATAGAATGGATGCATATCGTGCTTTACAAAAACTGAGCAGAGGAAATTACAAAGTAAATACAAAGGCAATAAAGGTAAAGTGTACCAAATGTACTTTTTCTGAGTTCTTGTACGAAGATGTCGAATTTCCTAAGGGGGTGTTCACACATAAGTTTTTCTAGAGGTGTCTTGTCTTGTACAGTATATTTCTTTTTGTGATTTTTCAAGTGGGCTTTTAACGTGCGTTTCTCTTTGTAGTGTCAGAACTTTTTTTTGTTTTTTGTTTTGTCTTCATTCATGACATTGTTTTTTGTTTTACAGATTGCATGGGCTTTAAACAAAGGAATTAAACCAGAGTATAAGCAGTATTGGGATGTGTGGAAATCGGTGTTACTTACATACCATGGAGTAAAGTCAAACCTGAGGAACTAGAGGCATTGTGTGAAGGAGGGATGCTGGATAATGATACAATGTGCCCAGGTAAGCATCACTTTCTGATAAGTGGTAAAAAATAAGGTACTATCGGACTACTTTATAGTTTAAGTTGTGGTAATTTTTCTTTTTTTCTTCAGATTGGAAAAATATCAGTAAAAAGACAGAGATGGCAGACACATCTCAAAATGGTTCTAAAGCTGAGAATACTCAAATTGAAAACAGTTCACCTGGACACCAGTCTACCCCTATACCTCTGCTCTCTCTTCAGGTTCGTCCAGCATTGGCTGTAGTGGTGAGTGTTAATCAAATTTTGTGTTGCTGTGTCACTTGGGGACTGGTTGCTTACCAACATTGTGCGCTTTATTTTATTTTTGCTTTTACTTTGAATTATTTGCATACAATTTCACTAGAACACTGGTTTACCAGGTGCATAAAAATGTGTCTTCTGTATATCGGCCTGCTCACAACTTCCTTCTCTTTACATGTATCGCGCTTCAGTTCTCTCAGTATGTCCATAATACAGGCAAAAATCATATGTACTTGACTTTTATGTTTAATTGGGTAAGGTTTTAAGTTTTTGTTTTTGCTGTTATCCTTTCAGCCTCTTCCAGGTACTCAGCCTATGCCATCCATCCCACCTCTTTCAGCAATACCAGCAATTCAGGCTCTTCAGCCTACTACAGCATTACCTACTCTTCAAGGTTTACCTCCTCCACAGGGATTACCCCACTACAAGGGGTTCCACCCCCTCAAGCACTGCCTATTCCACCAGCACTGCCACCATTACAAGGAATGCATATACCACAGGGAATTCATGTTCCAGGATTCCCAGGACCCATCAATATACCTCCTCCTGGGTTTGCCCCTGGTGTTCCTCCACCCCCATTTATGAGGCCAGGGTTTAATCCAATGCAGCTGCCACCAGGTAAGTGTAAATGTGAAAGCATAGGTTATCAAGCTGTAGTCTGTTATACTAGGGAGGACAGTGGAAGAAAATGGTGGTTGAGGGTTCGTGATCTCTATTCAGCAAAGGGTTGTCAAACCATGCCTATGTGGTACCCAGCAATCTTGTGTACATTTTTCTGTTGAACAGGATATTTGAAACACAAACTTTAAACTTAAAGAATATTTCATTTTGATGAGACTAGGAGAAGGTTAAAACCTCTTTTATTTTTTTACTTTGTCTAATTAGGGAGATTACCCTTTTTTTTTCCTGTCCTGTAGATAGCCAATTTGACAGAAATCCTGTCTTAGATATCACAGGAACATGTGTCCCCATTGGGAGTTTCCCCTGTCTTCCAGTTCTGGTGGCAACAAAATTTTGGATTTACCTTCGCTTTTGTTCTTGGTGTTTTGCTGCTTAGATCAGCTAGAGAAAATCTTCCTGATGGGGAGACAGTAATAAAGCCACTCTATCTAAATCTAAAGGGTTTGCCTTTAGTTGCACTTTAAAGTGCCGCTTTAGTATAGTGGTTGAGATGACTTACATAAAAGTTGCACCATGCCTATATTTAAGTAATTTTATGTTACAGAGCAATGCTGCCTAATTAAGGAATTTAAGTCCAGAAATAAAAATTCTTCTCGCCTCAAGATGCTACATGTTCTCCCAGGCCTCAGAAACACTCCATAGATTTTTGTGAGGATTTAGTAGTATGGTCAAGCTTGAGAGGCATATATGTCGGCGTACCGCATGCAATAGAGTAGTCTCCCATCATTCGACTGAACACCTGGAGTTCTTTATGCCTTCAGTACAAAGAAAGCTGGCTAAATATCAGAAGGAATAAGTTATTTTATCTAATGTGTAGAGTGCATGAATACCGTCCCCAAAAGGTTGTGTACTTTTGGTTCTTTATCGAATATTGGTTTACATTGACAAATGCTTTGGATCCCAAAGTGTTCACGTTAATTTAGTATTTCATAGACTATAAGTAAACCGATTTCTGTTATCTGGATGTGGTGGGAACAATGGAAACGTTGACCAATATTTTAATGTCAGGATTTTTATAAGATGAAGCCATTGTGTTTGAGAATTTGATCCACTCTTGAAATTAAACTGGACATAAAGGGGTTTATTTACTAAAGCTGGAGAGTCCAAAATCAGACTCCCTTCTGCATAGAAACCAATCAGCTTCTAACCTCAGCTTGTTCAATGAAGCTTTGGCAATGAAACCTGGAAGCTGATTGGTTTCTATGCAGAAGCGAGTCTGATTTTGCACTCTCCAGCTTTTGTAAATAAACCCCAAAGGGTCACGATCATCTGAGTATATGGGAACCTCGTGAATGAAATGTTTGCATAGTAAGGTGCAGATGCTCCCATAGAATAGGTTTATATATTCAGTTTAATAGGAAATACAGAGCGGTCATTGGACATAATGAATCCTGTGTTTGTCATCTCTACCCACAGGCTCTGTGGGTTATAAGGAGGCCCTTTGTTTTTCTCCAAACATAAACCAAACTTTATGTACAAAATTAGGTGACAGATCACTAGTAGGAATAGATTACTATTTTGCCTTGCTTAGGTGGCAGATTTGGCGCTTTTACCAGTGCGTCTTTATAACCCTGTTAGCACTTTGATATGTGATAATTAAAAGTGACATAAGGAACCTGATTGGTACAAACTTTACAGCTGACGCATATGGCTAATTGTTAGCCAACCAAATTTGATTAGTTGCAGCTTTTGCAATTGTGAATTACTTTAACCAGATCTAATCTAAAATGTTTGTAAGACCACTGATGCTGAAGTGCAGGCACCATGCAAGTACCTATAAGCTAAGCTGTCAGATTGATCCCTGTGTTCCTGTTAATTTTGTTTTGCGGGTGTACGCAAACATGCCACATCCCTAAATTCAAATACAGCAGACTATTTTTGTCCCCCTTGATGGGATTTTAAAAGCATTTATATCATAACAAATCGAAAAAAGTATATTTTTATAAAATCATTTTAAAGATTTATAAGAAATATACTTTTTTTTTCGATTTGATAGATATATATGCCTTTAAAATCCCTGTGTACCTGTTGTGCCAGTTGGATTCCAGGCCCAAGTTGGACATTGGGGGTCAATGCACTAAAGGATTTCCTATGCAATTTAGATCACGTGACCCATTTTTACGGAAATATTGTATGAGATAATAAGAGTCAATTTAGCAAAGTAAAACATTGAATGTGAGGTAAATACCGCAATTTGTTAAAAATTTGAATTATTACCGCAAAAAAAAAAATTAGATGAATCATTCATGAAGTGAAATCACTAAAGAACACACACATTTGTTTATCTCCTGCCAGTAGGCTGTCGGTATTTAGTCAATATACAAGATAAAGGGAACTCAACTCTGCACTGGCCAGTAAATTCAAAGTTTACAATGTATCCGTATGGAAATGTTCTACTCTGTGCTCAGGAATATAAATTGTAGAATTACACCAAACCAATCATTCTGTGAGTGAAAGCACACTGGAATGTTTTTCACTATTTCAGAATATTTCTGTGTGCGTTTAATTTTACAGAGCTATCTGCCACTGGTACAGTGTTGGCATGTAAAAAAGAAAATTGCTAGTAAAGAAACTTCAAAAACAACCTTAAATTTTAAGTGATAAATCTTCCCAGAGCCAAACATAAATATTTAACATTTGGTAAATGTTAAATGTTTTGTAGTGCATTGACTACGTTTGAGATGGATACCATATTAGTAATTTTAATGCAGCAAATCATGTGACATCTATCTTAGTGAATTGACCCATTTATATTGATTTCCAGACTATTGGCTGAATTAATCAGCATACACTGCAATCAACTGGGTTGATTAATATTTAGTAGCATGTTTAAGTTCTTAAGTTACAGCTGAATCTTTAAAGGTTGAAGTAGCAGGTAATAAAAGCAGCTGTTTTTGAGAAATTCTGTTGTCTTTCCATTCATGAAAGCACTCCAGTATGTGAACATTGCTTGTCCATGCCCATCTGTGCTCTCTGGATTTTTTTTTTTTTGTTCTTTGTGAACTCAGACCAAAAGACTAATGCTGCATATATATTTTATAATTCTAGTCCTTTTACATATCTTATAGTTCTGTGCCATTGTTTAAAACCTTTCTTTTTTTTCCGGTATTAACTTTTCTTCTGCTCTTTAGGATTTCTACCTCCTCCGGGTATGCCCCCACCTATGACTCCTCCAGTCTCTCTTCCTCCTCCTATGTCTGGAATAAGCATCCCAACTTGTAAGTCATTGACTCTGAAACTTCAGGGTCATATATGTACATACACTGAATACAGAAGACACATGTTCCTGTGTGTGCAGTTTGAGACTCCCTGGAATGAAATGAAAACAGTCTTGTGTGTTTGACAATCTGATGTACCTTTTTTGTTTTACTAAACTACAATCATCCAGCTTTCTTAAAGTGGGTCTGCTGATGTAAGATGTTGCCTAATCCTATTTTTTCTGCTTTTTTTTTTTCATAACATACACGATAAAATACTTTGCAGGGAAACTGCATTTCCTTTTCCCACAGCAGCTGATTGTGTGAAATAATGCTTAGACATTTGCTCATCCAATATCTGCTAAAAGGAGTTCAGATTGATGGATTGTCCCTTCAGAAGACGTGACCAAACGTGCAACATAGGAAGATCTTATTGGGCTTTAGGATATTAGGACCACTAAGAATGAGAAATGCACAAGTGTTCTCTCCTACTTTAGAACATGTTTAACCCAGCTAGTCTTTGGCTCAGAAACTCACTGTTATGCAGCGAGAGAGAGAGAGCTCCAAAAATTTAATGTTTAAAAATATCTGAGTTCACCCAAAGTCCATTTATGGCAAAGTGACAGGCTGTGTTTAAAGCCCACCCTGAAAAATACCTGGTGTCTGAGCTTAGTGATGTCATTCCCTCTGTCATGTGATAGTGCTCTGATCTAATGATTGTCACTTAGGCCTGAGCACTGCATCATGAGAGGAGGTAACATGCTCTCCCATAGTCACCTGTCATTTTGCATCATCAGCCCTGGAGAGCTGTGCTGGAGGATTTTACCCTAAATGGGCAAGATGACTAGGCCTCTTTTAATAGTCCAGTTTTTTAGTAATTCATTAACATCTCTAATATGAGAGACTTGAGTGGTTATGTGCAGATTCCAGTAACCTGCCACGATCAGAAGCATGTTGTCTGATCATACTACAGTAAACAGAAATGTGATGTGGTTTACTTCACTTTGTATGTAGTAATCACATTTTGCTTTTTCTTTATAAAGAACATTTTTTTGCCTATTTTCAGTTACTAATTATTATTATTGAAATGAAAGGCAATACACCTGCAACAAACAAGCCTGCTTTTATTAGCAAGATCTTTATATTTGAATTTGGGAAACCCCAACTACTTGCCTACCATGATCTGTTGCAGAATCTGAAATGAAGTCAAGGCCATAGGCCCCTTTCTCATGTCTGGTTGCTCACTGGGGGATCTATCTGCTGAGCAGGCAGATAGCTGGTCACACTGCTTATGCAGAGCAGACGCAGACATAGCCCACTTTCCTCTATGGGCGGTCGGATGTAAACGAACTGCTTTTTCATTTAAAGTGGGCTGCCATCCAATCTGCCCAGACTGAGGGGAACGGATCCCCCATCTGTCTGTTTTATCGAATTGGATGTAAGTGGGTGTAAACGGACATGTGCAGGTGACAGAGGAGAATGGAGGGCTCAGTCTTCTCTGCCTGAAAAACAGACAAGCAGATCCGATCGGGCCACTAGTGTGAAAGGGGCCTAAGTGTAAAGCTATGTTTGAGGATTTTCCTGAGAGCACATAAGAGAATCTGGCTAATTGTACTTGCAGGCACATTGTGCTGTGTCTTTTAAAAATGTAACTAGTTCTGAGAATTAGTTGTATGAAAACAGGTTAACTATAAGGTTTAAAGCCCAGCTGCACCCTTGTGAGTTTAAAGTGTCCTTTGCTGGCATCATGCACTGAAATAAGTTCACCTTAAAGAAAAAAAAATCTTTCCTTGGGTTGAATACATTGGGTAGTCTTCATTTATTCTCTATGACCATCCACAACTTGGCGCCTTCATAAAAAAGAAAAAAAAAATTTCCCTGAAATATGTGTACACCAACATGGATTTATAAGGTCTGAAATTATTAGCCTGCCATTTTTTTTTTTTTTTTTTTTTTTTTTTTGCTTTTTGAAAGTTCTGAGTCTGCCATCCTAGCTTCAAAACATGAGTCCATTGCCCAAGAACAAACAGTACTTTCCACACTGCTTGTGGCAGGCTTGTTCCAGATCAGGGACCCACTAATAGGTAAAACAATAATATGGATTAAGGCATGGAATTGGCACCTCTTAAATCGCTAGCATTGACTTCTTCCATATTTCTACCTTGATGGGTGTACTTGCAGCCCCTTGAGTCTTATTTGCCTTCCTTACTGCTGCAGTCCCTTAACAAGAGGATCTGCTGAAACTAAAACATTGTAGAAATATTGCTGCAGTGCATTTCAGAAGCTGTCACTGTATATTTTTTTAAAATGCTTGTTGCCTAGTTTCAACATGTTAAGCCAGTGACCTGAAATACGGGGCTGCATACATGCAATGTATTAACAGGGTCTGTTAAACCATTTGAGTCCTTGGGCGCTTGGCAATTTCTCAGATCTGCACAATATATCTTTCATGTTTTGTTGTTTACCCTAATGTTTTAATTTATTTTTTTTTAGAACAGGTAGGTCTTTAAGCTCTGTTTCACACTAGTGTGACATGCGATTTACAAATCGCACCTGAAGTCACATTTAATGTATTTCTATGGCACGGTCTTAATTGGTGTAGTTTTGAGGTAGTGCGATTTCAAAAACCGTTCTTGCACTACTTTTTTTTTTTTTTTTTTTTTTTTTTTTCAATTTCATTGTGACTTGCATTGACTTCTGTTAAATGAAGTTGCAAGCCACAGTGAAATCCGAGGTACAAATGGCACTGATCTGTAGCTTTAAAATCCCACTACTTCAAGTAAAGTAGCACGATTTCGAGGTCTCATTCAGTGTGAACCAGTGTTTAATTGGTTACAGTTTTGAACACATATATTTAATTTTTTTGGGTTCTTATTGAAAAAGGGAAAAAAAAAATAGGTAACGTTTGAATTTTTTGAGCACCCCCATAAATATAATCAAAATCTGTTGACTAAAGTGATCACATTAGGTTGTTTTTTTTTTTAATGTAATTTGGAATGGTAAAGCTCTCTCAATGTATGCGTTTTATTTTAGAAGTAAATAGTGGTGCACCGTAATGAAAATTCTGCTGAAACAGATGCTGAAAATTCAGAATGCATGTGGCCGAAAACCGAACCAAAATGTCTGCGTATATGGGGGTGGGGAGGCTCCAATTTTTTGTATTTTTTTTTTCTTTCATATATATTTTTTTTTTTTTTTTAAATATGATTTTTATTGCTATCACATAGGGGATCAATAGTGTGATGGCATATGAGCGACGGGGCAGGAGAGGAGCAGTGCAAACAATGAGGGAGCAGTGTATACAGAGAGGCTCCCTTACTGGCTGTCACTATGTCAGTGCTGGTTTTTAAATGCAATTGCCGGCTTTTTTTTTTTTTTTTTTTTTAATATATCTCATGGAACTGTCACAACTAAAAGGAAACTGTTTCTTTTAACTCTGGGAAAGAAACTAAAAGGAAACATTGCTTTTAACTAGGAGGAAAGTGACAGCTAATTATATGACCTATAGTGAAGAAAAAGAAATCCGGTAATTACATTTAAAAACCAGCACTGACATATATTGACAGCCAGTCACTGTATACACTGCTCTGCTACTTCTTTTCTCAACCACCCCACACTTCTGTGGTACACACATGTCTCCTGTGTCGGCACCTCTATTGGCTAAATTTTTCCTATTGGCAATATGCCGATAGGGCTATTTTTGGCCGAAATTTCGGTTCATCCCTAGAAGTAAATCATTCTTCTCTCTATGCTACGTTGCAAGGCATGCAGTGGACAAAACCAGGTTATAATAATTGCTAGCTTAATATTAAGATGAGATTAAATTGGGCTGATCGTTGTTTGCTACCTGTCCATGCATTTTTGGAGGGAATATTTGTAGTTTATTTTTAGTATAGATATATTATATGTATTTGTGTATGTATGTATATGTGTATAAATTTTTTTTTATTTTGTATGTGTGTGAATTGAATTGTTCTAGATGCTGACTGTCCCCAATGGGACCCACTGATTCCTGGCACTAGGGACTCAAATGGGTTAACAGTTGTCATTATCAGGAGAGATGAGCAATGTTGTACATATTTTGCTTCTTGACAATGTTAATTGGTAGAGATCATTGCAATACTGGTGTATAAAGCACAACGTAATTTCTAATTTCTGACTCCCAGTTCCAGATTTGTGCACACTGGGTGGCGATGGTGTTTGATTATAATGGAATCATGTGAATGACATTTTATTTCTTAGCTACTGCAGGTGTCCTGTCTAATGAACCAGATGTAGCTCAAGGAAATACATTACCTTTTGGAACTGAAAATATTGATTCTGATGATAATGGAAACGGATTTGGGGCTGCTCCACAAGGAGGGCCAAATAATGCTTCTGGTCCATTGAACCCACTTCACGGTAAGTCATTCTTTCGATGCTTCCTCAAAACTGTGTGCGTGGTTTTTGGTTTCAACTCTTTCCACAACATAAGATTTTTCATGCAGATGTAAAACTTGTTTCCTACCCAACTCGCTAATATTCTCTACCGACTCACTTCATATACACTCTACATTAGCAACAATATGTGTGTGTAATGTGTTGTTGCTGAGTGTAGGAGAAGAGACTCCCGCCTCTCCCTCGCTCGATGTATAACTCGTACAAAATCTACATCTCTCATATAGAGATAGATATATAGATTACCCAAAAGAGGATTTTCGTCTTGTGTTTTTAGGTTTTTCAAATGTTCACTTGATGTAAAATTTCTGCCGCATGTCCATGAGATGATCGTCCATCCTCCTCCCAGAATCAATCTATTGTTTGTGATCCTAGCTTTCCAATTACACCCCCCCATTACTGTTAAAGAATCCCCTTTCCCCCTCCCGCCCACCACCCCCCCCTCCACGCACAATTATGTTCTCCCGTCTAGATACTTGACACACCCCCCCCTATGATACTTCCCTACCCCCCTCATCCAATTACT